GATCAAATCCTTTGCACAACAGGTAGAAATTTAAGTTCAATGATTCACTTTTTTTCCTCCTGTTTTCTGATATGTTTCTCATTCGAGATATGAAATATACAAATTAGATGGTTTGTGAAAATGAATGGTTTTTTTTCATGTTTTTATTAATTTCAATTTTTTTGAATTATCATATCTAATGATATATATAATTAATATATGTTTCTGTTTTGAAAATATGATAAATTGATCTGACATGTGGTTGCATGAGTTGTCTCTTATTTTGATGTTACGTGCTTATTATAAGCAAACCATGTCTTTACCATTCAATTATTATTGTCGTGTCCCTGTAAATTGAATTAACCCATTTTTCAATGAAAATCAATCCATTTTCATTTGTTTATTTCCATCACCCCTATTTAGGAAAGATGCAGGCCGATGATGAAAAGAAACATCATATAAACCTGAATTTTATATTATTTTATCTTCTAATGATTCCATCAAATCCCACGCGTGCTATAGACAACATTTGAATAAGGTTTTTTTTATATAAAAAAGTTTAATTAAAAGTATCTTTTAATTAATTAATCTTTCATGGATATCTCACATATGTGTGTCTGGTATTGTGTTGGGTTTATTCTAATGTTTCTCTATGCAATACTATTCTACTCATAGATTCTTATGAATTTAATCATATTTTGATGTTGATTAGTTATTTTATTCTATTATTAACTATTTATTTAGAACCTAATTCGAAATTTGAATTCTCACTGTTAAGTTCTAATTGTCTAGTTTTAGAGTGTGTTTTACTGAATTTGTACTTTGTTTAATTTTTTGAGGTATTTAAATCTAAAATTTAACGTACATTAGATTTTGTCTTTATTATAGCGTGGTTAAAAATATTTTCTATAATTTGTTTTAAAAAAATCATTTATTAAATGATTCATATGCAAATCTAGTAGTCTTTATATATATAATTATAAGTATTTGATCTATTGATTAACTAATTCGGATCGGATAGTGTATAAATTTATTATAAGGGTGATTCTTCTAACTCAATCTATTCCATCAATAACATGTTCAGTTCTTATTCAATGATTTTTAATTGTTTTTTAAGATTATATAAAAATATGAAAAAGATAAAAACATCATATAATTTTAAATAATATTTTTAACTTTTTCTAACTAATTTAATACTCTAATCAGTGATTAAAAAAAGTTAGCATAAATCGGACTTACATGTGATAATAATATACTACATGTTTACTCAAATTCGATTAAATCCAAAATATAAATTTCAAATTTTGTTCAAATTCACACACACACACACACACACATATATATATATATATATATAAATGATTAACGATGTTCGGTTTGACCGTTTTATGTTTTTAATTTTTTTAAAATGTTTGTGTTATTTTAATTTAACAATTTTGTATATTTACAAAATACAGAATGAATCTGACAACCCACGAAGAAAATATATTTACAATAATAAATAAAGATAATTTAGTTAAAGATAAAATTACAATAAAAAACCTATTAATTTGGCCAATACGGTTGCTTGATTTAGAGTCATATTAAAGCTTGTGTTGCAAGTCATTCAATATACGTACTCTTCATAATCAAAGATCACAAGCTGATTCTTTGAAAGAGAAGAGGACTGTAAATTCCTTGAACAACAAAGCTTTTGATTAACGCATAAAAGTTTCAAGTATTGAAACAAGACTTAAACAGCATCCAACGTAAGGTTGTGCCCACTTGTCGTACGCTGCTGTTTCGTTTACTATCACTTATAACCAACAATCATTTCTTGGTAAAATCGGACTAATAATTCAAACGGGTAAATTATTTAGCCCTAAAAGATAATTCAAAAATTATTTTAGGATATATGCCATTTGTTACAGTGTACGTAGAATTTGTCACATGGGTGTGACAAGTTTCATAAAGTATATTAAAAAATTGAAACTTGTCACGAGGCATGACAAGTTCCATACAATTTTGTTCCATATCATATGACGAGTTCTAATCTTTAATATATTTTATGAAACTCATCACGTGTGTGTGACGAGTTTCACGAACACTATAATAAATGCCGTAGATCTCAAAATAATTTTTGAGACATCCTATTGAGCTAAATAATTTACTCACTTGAATTATTGTGCTGATTTTGCCTCATTTCTGGCTTTAATAATTTACTCACTTGAATTATTGTGCTGATTTTGCCTCATTTCTGGCTTTTTTTTTCAAAACTTATCCTAGGGGCCCAAATGACTTTGATCATAAGGGTTTCATACCATCGGTAGTCCTTCCTAGATTGTAAAAATAGGAAATATCCTCAATTACAGTAAACATTTATAATCATAATTGTAAATTAAACACATAATTAGGACAATTTCCTATAATAATTGAAACAAAACTAACAACTTAAAGATTACATAAGTACCATACAAGGAAACATTAAAATATAACCAAGAAAACTCAAATAAAAATAGATACAAATAGATCTGATTGTATTGATAAACGAATCACAAAAGGAGATCAAGCTATTGAAAGACCACTAACAAACCGTAAATTAGAATCGAGTGACGTGAAAAGCTATACACGAACACATAACAAGTATCTAAATCCAATCTGAGGGTCCAAAGAAGGGAAGATCAACAATATATCATATAAGCGTCGTATTGATCAGACGTGGCAATGTCTAATTTGCCCTTAGAAAAAGATAAATGAAAACAACGACCAACAACCGAAAAAAGTGCCCAAAAGGCTGAGGAAAACATATCATATAAGCAGACTTATTGAAAATAAAAAACAAGAGAAAATAAAATGACAATAAAGAATACCGACGGTCGACAACCAACATTAAAGTTGGTGCCACCGCAGATCAACAAAGATAGAAAGAAAAAGAGATGAACAGCTTACCAATAAGAGAAAACTAGGAGAGAAAACTAGCTACCATTTTTAAATAGTTGTAAATCTTTAAACTCCCAGAGAAATTTTTTGAATAGTCTATAGTCTAAAGTGATTATAAATTTATCTCTAGTTTATATATATATATATATATATATATATATATTTTGGATAAATCAGAATTTTATATATTTTAGTTCATACATAATTGTTTGAATTTGGAATATCTAGTTCATATACTCTAAAGTTGCAATACAGTGTATATGGTCCCTAGTCTCTAGTTTTAATGACTACCCTAATGCAGTTGGTGATAAAAATATTATTGTTATTCATTGACATCCTGTGTTCGAGCATCAGGAATGTCAGAGGTACGAGCGTTCAATATCAAAAGGTTGAGAGCTATTTTTGAACTGATACTACATTGTCCTTATCCTAGATTAATAAAAAAATATTTTATGTAAGATGTAATTACAATAATATAAATGGAATAAAAATTGACTTTTGACCTTTTATGAAATCTCTAATTTTCAATTCCAAAGAGCATAACTTATTTCCCTAAGACCCAATTTTTGCATGGCTCTATTACGGTATATATATAATATATGTACGTAAAATATATGACATGAAACCAACGGTATATACCAGACAATTTAGCTTCCGACCGTGTACTCCGGTGGGGTAACCGGGTATCTTGACTTGTCGGTGCAGTAATCGTAGATCATGTGGTTCATACGAACCCACCGGTATCGTCTAGCTTCCATGGCGTTAAGGGCTTGATAAGCAGTGCCCTCCCACCAGTTCCTGGTGCTTGCGGCATAATTTGCGAGGCTTGATACTATTTGACTCCAATTTAAACGATTTTTATAATCATATACAAAACATATATATATTTTTTTTTATATTTTTTTCATATGTGATATACATATGAGTTGAGTTGAGTTGAGTTTATGAAATTACAACTTAAAGTCAATTCGAGTCAAGTTTTTTTTATTCGACTCGATTCAAAAAATCGAATATAACTTGAAATTTTTTCGTGTTGAGTTCATGAAATTACAACTCAAATTCAATACGAGTCAAGTTTTTTCAAGTCGAGTCGAAAAAAATTAATTTTTCGAGTCAAATCGAATTTTACTCACCCTTACATGTTTTAGGCCAAGTTTTCCTTAATAGGAACATCATAATAATTGATTCACCAAAGGAAATTGTTTACCCTTAAAGGTTAGGTATGGATTCTGGGGTGGGTAGGAATAATCGTCCTCCTAAAAATTTTAAATTCTCATATGTTTTAGATATTTTTGATTGAAAATTTATTTAATCATCTTAAAATTTTACAAGTAGGAACTTTTTTTAAAGTTTACTCCTGATATAAAATTTTCCATCACCTTCCGGTTGTGATTCCTGTCATGGAAAATCTGGAGGAGGTAAGAGTTTTCATTCATGTCTATAGTTCTTATGATACCTCAATCACACTGGGCCTGGCCCATTTTCTTGTAGGCTGAATGGACACAAAATTATGATCCACAGGGAAAGCCCTATTTATTTAATTTCACAAAAAACTCTAATTTACAAATTTATAAAATAATCTATTAAAAGATCTATTGATTGATCAATTGATTAAGTAAGAATGATCATATTATTCTACTGTATACAAATTCAAGTCCCATTAATCTTGAAAATATAATAAATCTCTACCTAATAAAAAGAAATATAAACTACTAAAGTAATCATTAAACAATCATATCCATTAAAAACATATAAATATAATTTAATACTTATGTAATCATTAACCCATCATTTGAAAGAGAGAGAGATGAAGAGATACTATTTACTATTAATCTAAATTACACTGTCGTTCTTTTCTCCTAGAATGTACATAAAAAAGAAGATACGGTGGAAGTGACTGCTCGCACACAATAAATCACAAAGCAATTCAATCTTTTTCAAGTTTTAATAGCAACAGATCGAATGAAAGCGAAAACCCAATTCCCCCCACAGCTGTGATTTCATGTCCTTTTGTATGAATTTGGTGGGAAGTTGTCTGGTATATTTCTTTGATTTCACTGCTATTCTCAGAAGGCTTCTGTTTTAAAATCTTTGTTCGTCTTGTAGCTTGAGGTAATGGCTCAAGAACCGATGTTAATAGTAGTAATAATAATATAAAGTTCACCGCTGTTCTGGGTTCTTTCCCTTTCTTCCTTTTTCCTTTGGTTTCTGCAAAACTTATTTGCCTCTTCCACGTCCCATCATTTCATTGGAGAGCGACATTTCCTTCATAGTTTGTGCTCTCTAGTCATTCCCTGATACCACCCTCTTTGTTCTGTTATTTTTTCCTATTTAGTTCATCTCCTTCCATCGTTCTTTCCATCGACACGAAATGGTAATTTGCAGTCGCAGATTCATGTTTTCCAGGAAACCTTGCTTTATTTTCCTTCTTTTTCTAATGATTTCAACCACAACCCAAATGAGATACAACAAAGCTGAAGGTAATTTCACCACTCATCTATTATATTTCACATATTCCTACAATTTTGAAGTGAATTTTCTTTGATTTTCCCACTTGTTTTATCTGCAGGTAAACCGAATCCCACATCTGCAAATAGCTTTTCCAAGGTAAGCTTAATCAGTTTTTTTTAAAGTTTTTTTCTTTCTTCCTTAAAACAAAAACTAGCATTCATGTGTCTTGTATCTGTGTTCTAAACTTGGATAATAGACAATAAACGAAGAAGAGGCGATGGTGTTGAAAGGTCAAATAGGTTCGAGGCCGCCACGATGCGAACGAAGATGCAGTTGGTGCGGGCACTGCGAAGCCATTCAGGTGCCTACGAATCCCCAGGTCCGAGATGGAAACGACCATTCATCTTCAACATCGATCTCTGATGTTGCTCATGCGAGAAAAAGTGGAGACTACAACTCTAATTACAAGCCCTTGAGCTGGAAATGCAAATGTGGCAGCTTCATCTTCAACCCCTGAACATATACGTATCTGTATATCAGTATATGTGTGGGTGTATTACACAGTTTCGAGAACAGAATCTTAGGTTCTTGAACCATGTAAATCTGTGCAAGTCTGTAAGAGAATTAGATAGTTAACAGATTGTCAGAATGTTTAGATGTAATTAGTGTGCAATCAGTTCCTCCTTGGACCGTATGTATATACGTATAAGGCATCTAAAAAGTGGTCTTATCAACAAGAGAATCTGGTCTGATGCAAAATATGAATTATGGTTAACTGAAACCTCAGTTGCGGAATATCCATGGCATAAGCAAGCAAAACTATGAAGGTCTTTCTATGTATAATTTAAGGGAATAAAAATCCTTTTACGTAATGGGAAATAAAAGAAAAGAAGGAAAATAAAATGAAATCAGAGTTTTCCTTGAAGTGAATAAAACAAGAAAGTTGATGGGATATTTCATTAGCAGTGCATGTTCTCCTCCTGTCCTTTTGATTAGACATGACATAACGAGGACAACTTCCATACGTTTGCAGATCCTAAAAATCAAATACAAATTCAAATCATTCTTATCCAAACAAAAATTATATATTTTGAACATTATAGTATACAACTATATATTATTATGTAAGATAAGTTTTCAAGTTTTTATATACTTTGGTATTTGATTTTGATAATGAATGGATTTAAATACTGATATCCAGTTTGAGAAACCTGCATCTGCAATGTTAAACATTGGGATAGAATATGAAGGTAGAAATGGGGTAAGAGTCACGTGGGAAGATGGGGCACCATCTTCTTCTACAGACCTAAAACACTCCAAACTCCAAAGCTTAAAGGGAATGTTTTTGTTGGAAAGTTCAAGACAGACAACTGATAAATCCACCAAATAATAATAATAATAATACCAATAAAATACAGTAAAAATGCTGAGGCACACGACTTCCCAAAATTCATGGATTCTGAGCTTTCTCTGTTAGCACATTTTCCAGATTTTATACTTTTATCTGTAATTTATTTATCTATCGAATTCATTATTTGATCGGTTTAGCATAGAATATAAGATCTAATGCTATTGAAGCAAGTTTAGAAATTGTAATATGCAAGCCATGCTTGTCTGTTTTGTAACTAATTGACACTAATAATATTCACTGTGCCTATAACTAACATAACTCTGATACAATTGAAATCAGGAGTCGAGATCGGGAGAAGCGGCAAGAAAGAGAGGTCCGGCGCCGGAGACCCTTCGTGAATGTTCGATGACTATGTTGTCAGAAAGTTCGTTGCCGAGCATTTCCCAAACTCCGCTATGGAGATAATTCCTGAAGATCCTATAATGGTCGTAAAGCCCACCTTCCATTATAATCAAACTTCTCCTGTTGTCTATTCTCCCAAGCTTCTTTACGATCGCCACTGCGCCTGCTGCTGCCAAACGCGCCCCCCGTTCAGTTACGATATCGCATACCTCCGCAACGATTTCTGTTGCCATCGGTGTCAAATTCGTGATCTGAGAGGTTGACGGGACACCGGATATAATGAAAAGAGTTTCAATGTCTATGCATATATAGTTTAAGCAAGAATGTATACCCCAAATACTTCCATGAGTTTTTCATGCACAACTTCACGATCTTCTGATGTGTCTTGATGCATTGCAGCCATATCAGGTGACCTAAGAATGAAAAATTAGATCAGAAACGTCGATTCGGGCACAAGTTTATATCTAACATATGTATTCGACTAATCGGAGCAATTAGCGTTGTTTACCTTAACAAGTATGGAATTAGAAGTTTTGGAGGTACACTTTGACCAAAGAGAGCTGCGTCTTGTGCCATCCAAAGTAAAACTCTTCTTACAATTTCTCCTAAATACACGCCGGAAATCAGCTTTTCGAAAATCTGCAGGAAAAAAGGTTTAGCAGCAATTGCAGAAGACTTATGCTTAGACATATTATTTGCGTTACCCGATTGCCGGGATTCGAACTGGCGGCATCTAATGAAGAATCATACTGAGTTATTGGAAGATGGCATGAATTGAAGTTTCCCCATTCCATGCTAATAACCTATGGAACAGGGCACAAATATCAAATTTTGGGTTGAAAATCCAAGCAAATGAGCAAGTATACGTGTAGCAAGTCACTCACTATCTCGCCTTTCTTTGGCAATGAGTTGTGCCATCGTGGAGCCAATTGCGCGGCATCAACATAAGCAGCATTGGAGCCCTTGCCTAAGGTGATTGCAGCCACACAGTCTTTGTCGTAGTATCTACCACCAGCTAAATTTCCGACGATGTCGTCAACCTGCTCAATCCTTGAGTCTGAATCAACTCGGAAATTGGCTCTTACAAACAATTTTATTCGAATAACGAAAGAATATGAAGATGCTTACTAACGCATGAACTCGAAAATTCAAACCATGTTTTTCCAGAGCTTGATTGAGTCCAGTGACCATTTCATTTTCCCCCTGGTTTCCACAGAGTAAGAGATTGTCAAAAATTAGACTAAAGTATGAACCGGTTTAATTCAAGATTCATAGTTCAGAGTTGGGATTCACTCAACTGTGGCATCTGCAGAGAACTTCTTCAATGTAATGACGGAACCGGATATGGCTGTAGATTTATCCTCTGCACACGACAATGTAAACCCGAGTTTCTTATCGCTTTCCGGTGACCCTGGCGTTTCATCATGGTTTTCGGGGTGTGCCGAGACGAATTTCGCTATCTCCAATGCTATGAAGTCGTATAATTCCTAAAGATCCGTGATTACCAATACGAATATGTATCGGATGCGAATATTTTAGAATAAAATAAAAAGCCGGAATTAATGTCGGTAAAAATGTACCTCTGAAGTGCCAATCATGACATTGGGAGGAATAGAAACATCCTCCACATGTAAGTCAATAATGGGCTCGTTTTTGCCTAACAGTCTCCCACAGACTATCGAAAACGTTGTTTGTTTCATGTTCAAACCATAATACATTCCCTTCTCATCAATCCTGCCACCATTGTAACAGCTTTAATATCTATGTTATTCGGACTCGAACAGAATTGTATACGAGTTCTACGTATTGCAAGATTTCTCAATGATCTATCCATGCACGTACATGTCTAATCTATTTAAGAAAAAAGAAGAGTCGAAGCAAATTTACCCGGTGAGGAGAGGAGAGACATAGGAAACAACCATGTTGAGGCTAGTTTTCGCTTCGTCTGACGAGGAAAGAGAGGCTGCCATGTCCGAAGCCATGGCGTTAGCCACTTGCCATAACTTGGGGACCGGAGTGGCACATTCCCTCGCAAATTTACGCATGATCCGTTGACATTTGCCCCACTGTTGATCCTGTTGAACCTTCCAATATTGTTTCACAAGAGCTACCACCGCCACAACTGTGGCGGCCGTCGTTGTCACCGCTACAAGCGCTACTTGTTGCTTCATCTTCCAGTTTGATTTGATAAGCGGAATTTTTACGCTTTTCTTTTTAGTTTTTAATCTTTAGTTAATTTTATTTTGCTTAATGAAATTTGTTAAGGTAAGTAACAGAAAAACCTTGAAATCAGAATCAGTAGAGAGGAGCGAGTATTTTGCATCTTAAAGTCCTGGATTCTAAGCCCAAAGATTTACAGTTAGGAACCATACAGAGCTTACAATGGGCCTATTCTTTTAGGCCCATTGGGTTTGGAAACAATACGAAAATTTTCAATCCTTTATTCAATCAGGTCCACCAAATCTAATGGCTTGAAGTATTGTTCAAAAAAAATTCTTTCTATATTAATATTTTAATAAAAACAATAACAAAATTTATTCTAATAAAAAACAGTAATTTAGATTGATTCAACTATTTATAATATTCTTACACACAAATAAAATAAATTTAGACAAACAATTTGTAATTTTTTTAAAATTAATAAATTAATCAGAGACTAATTTAAGATAATACTTTCTTCTTGTATTCTTGTAACCACCACGTATGGGGTTGGGTGAATTCATATAATCAATTTGGAAATTCAAAATAATACTTTCTTCTTGTATTCTTATAGCCACCACGTCTTGGGTTGAGTGAATTCATATAATCCATTTAGGAGTATACATGCATGTTTGGCTAGAGCATTTGCTATCTTGTTTCCATCTCTTGAAGTGTGCTTGATTAATATTATCCAGTCTCGGACTACCAGCATATTGATATGTTGTAGTAGGGTATGTTGTATTCCTTTGTTAGGATTTCCCCCAATTAGTTTAACGGTGTCACTACTATCAATTTCAATTATTACTTACTTTACTCTTGGCTTCCAAGCAATCGGGAGTTTCTCGTATAATCCTCATAGTTCTGCTTCTAAAGTAGTACATTTGTCATTTAGTATGCTGGCGTTTTGAAGAGAGTGTGATATTGCTTGTTTCTATGGAGTCATATATCGTTGCCTTGCTGTGTATCAATTTTATTGCAGTTTTGGCTTGGAGTTGTGAGTGGTGCTGGCTGATATCTATCTATGGCCTAGGGTGAGAGCTTTTGATCCATGCTTGTTTTTAAGATTTTGGTGCCGTTGTACCCCCATGAGTGGGGTTGTGTGTGTAAGTAGAACTGTTTGTAAGGTTGAATCTATTTGTTCGCTTCGATTGATTGTAAGATTACCAACTGTAAGGTGCACTCTTTTTCTTCTATTTAAGTCTAAGGAGATTCTTTAGCAAAGCTCTTATTGTTGTTGTCTATGTAACACCTCCAACCCGTATCCGACCCGGATACGAGTCCGAAGTGTCACATTGACTTTTCAAACATTTATTCGTATAAAATAGTGAGTAATTTAAAAACTTTTATAACATTTAACTTATTCAAAACATTTACAAAACTATTTAGAGCTTATACAATATATTCTTTTGATTACATGCCAACTAGAACTTTATATACAAAAATACATATTATTCACCTCTCTTCTGATCTGACATTCGGTAAGGAGAACTGACCTGTCTTGTTCCTCTTTACTTCTCTTTTCGCTTTCCAAACCTACGTGTGAAACAATCACACGTTAAGTCGATGACTTAGTGAGGCATATAAAACATATAATGTAAACTCTAACATGTAATAATGCATGAACAACTACTACTATCATATCATACACAAACATATATCCGTTCATACATAAATTCTACATCTGCATGTAATTATCTTCATTCCTACTATTATCATATTATTATTAATTCCTTTTATTTTATAATCATGTAATTATCATTTATACACCTCCTATCAAATCATATCACTCATATACTTTTCATGTAACAATTATATATATATATACATATATATATATATATATCATCATTTATGTTTTATCATGCTCCTATATTATCACCCTTTATATATCTTATCTCTTGTTCATATGATCTCTTATGTTCATATTCTATATCTTATATAAGTCATTTATACTTATTCACATATTCATTAACATATATTCATGTATATCATATAACAGATGCAATAACCCATAACACATATATCTATCATATCATACAATTCATATTACACATCATATATGTACACTAGTGAGAACTTAAGGTATGTGAGTACATTGAGGTTGTGCACACATATGCTGTCACTACAGCTCGATCAATGTCCCGAAGGACCTATCCAGAGGTCATAAAGATCCTCGGTAACTATCCAGATGTCATAAAGATCCTCGGTAACTATCCATAGGTCCCGAAGAACCTAGGTAAACTATCCATATGTTCCTTAGAACATAGGTATACTGTACATATGTCTCGAAAGACATAGGTAGTTCTTTGACTCTTGGCATGCCAACTATACCTACAGTTCTCATAACTCATAACATGGGCATTATCATTATGAATACATTTCTCATCACTTGTTCTTTCTCTTCTGTCACATACCACATGTATGTGTAACCATGTATTTCATATCATATATCTTATAATAGATTCTTAAATCTTCATTTGTTTCCTTCCTACTTATTCACAATCACACTAACATGTAATGCAAGCAAGATGTATTAATACATACATGTAATCACATAACTTATATCATATTATTTCTTATAAACACATATCTCTTCTTTTCTGTCACGTATCACATATACGTGTAATCATTGATCTTATAATCTCATGTTCCTTCTCTTCTGTCACATACCCTATGTATGTGTAAACATATATTTATGAATCTCATATTGTATCACATATTCACATAAACATGTAATCCACTTTCACATATCACTTAACATATTTTCTAATATGATCACATAACTCATATTATCTATCTCATGTCATATTCTCATGTATTTACTTAATTCAGTTTCACATAGCTTGTCACATAGGCATGTATTCTCATATATTATAATTTCATATAGTTCAATATCACATATCACATATACATGTAATCATGTACTCATACACACATAAGCATCATATCATTCACAAATCAAATAACATTTTAGAAGTCACTTATTACCATAGTAACTCCATCACTGGCTCATCACAAGCCAATGTTTATTCGATAACATAAGTACAATTAAATTGCACTTACCTTAGCTTTGCTTTGATTCGATTCTAATCCTTCAATTGTTTCTGAATGGGATCACGTTCTATATCTACATAATCATTCATAGATCTATATCAGTATTATAACTAATATACTCTAATGGTTCACTACTTAGACTAAGAAAAATGCCAATTTCATCTTTCAATGAAAGTATGCATCGATGCACTACTGATGCATCGGTGCATAAAATGCATTCGATGTTGTATTATCACTGGGATGCATCGATGCATGCCTTATGCATCGATGCACTAATTGCATTCGATGTTTCTATTTTAAAAGAGTGCATCGATGCACTACCTGTGCATCGATACACCTTCAAACAAATTTCTGGGTTTTAACCTTGATGCATCGATGCACTATGAATGTGCATCGATGCACTCTGCCCAGAACCTCTTTTTGAACCTGAAAATCATCAACTTTTCACTCAAATGATTCATATTTCATCCCCTTTCATATTCCTAACTTTCATATACATGTTTAAACTCGTTTATAATCAATTATCTCTTCTTTAACCTTAATATCCTCTCATCTTTATTAACTTCAAGAATCATACCAGATTTTTAACATGTTTTAAATCTAATTCTAACACTCCATATTTCTTAATTAGATTGATGACAAATCAAATTCCTTCTCAAAATTCACTTACTAACTCTTTTCCAGAATTTCCTTTAGAAACTCATTTTCTTTAATCTTTCATAACTTCTTTATCTTTTGATTTTAGGACAACTTAAGCTTTCCATAAGCTTAAGTATTACCTAATGATCAAAACCCACTCTTAAAATTAACAAATAATCAGCTAACAAGGAATCTTACCTTTGCAAGCTTGGCTCTTTCTTTCTCTCGTACATGAAGAATAAGAAGATGAAGAGAATATTTCTTAATCCTTATCCCCTCTAACATATATATTTTTATCATATCTATTTTTAATTCATTTATTAGTCAAATGACCATTTTGTCCTCTACTTCATTTGATAATTACTAACAATTTTTAGGATTTATTTCCAAATAAATCATTGAACTAATTCATTCTTCCACTTTAATCACCAAATTCTGAAAGTTTACCATTTAGTCACTAACCCATAGTTTGGGGTGTTACAGTCTATATGTTCCAAACCCAATTTATAAATTTATAAATGGTAAAACTTAAACTAAAATAAATATGAGGATAACTCACACATATTTGTTTACCCAATATAAATGTCTAAAAAATATCATAATTAAAATCATCTGATTGTATAATTAAAAATTTAAATATTGAACCTGAATTAATTTTTTTTAAATTAAGGTGATTACTAAATAGCTATTCAAGATTTTTCTTAACAATTGAAAGCGCGTACACCCTAGAAACCCTAGAAGCGTAGCTACTCAAATTCAATACCTCAAAGGAGAATAACAATCACTTTAACCACTGAGGTCACTTAATAGGTTAAATCTGAATTAAAATTAATTTGTAATTATAAAAATATGAAGTAATCATTATTCTAACAATCACACTTTCTTACCATTATTATATGCCCTCCAAACATATCCTTAACATCAAAACAGCATCATGGTTCCATTACTAACAATAGAAAATCATAAGATACAGAAGTAAAAACCTAAATGTTCATACGGTTTCGCAAGTTTATCACATGAACTTCAGCAAACCCTGTTGTAGGGTTTTCACAAAATCCTTCAATGTCATCGAAAACTCAGCTTCCATCTGCAATATCCATGAAAAAAAATATTATGGCCTTAACCCCAGGGTTTTGTAAATAATATCTACAGTATAGTTCAAGAGAACCACGTTGTAAAAATTTGCTCGAGCAACAATGGTTATATCAAGAGTAAATTTTCCAAAGGGCAAGGCATTGCTATGAATAACCGACAGAAGAAGTTTTTCGACTTCGTTTAT